TATTATTATTATTATTATATTCAATTGTCTGCAGATGGGCTTTGGGTCTCTACTGCAAACCCTCTCTTTCTCATTGATATAGTTGTTTGTTCTGGATCTTTTGATACCTGATACTTGATTCTGTCGACACCTCATGATCACATAGGCCATGCTTTTTCCCTGTGGGCTTCTTTGCTTCCCTGCTGGATGGCTGCTTGCTTAACTTCAATCCTTTGAGATCCCAGATGCTATATCTTTTGATAGCCGGGCACCATCCACTCTCTTCACCACATTTGCTTAGCACCCATCTTGTCTTCAGCAATCATGTTGGGAATGTGAGTATGAAAGAGTGTCAGGTTATTAGAACAAAGTATTCTTGTGTTAAAGGAGGCCTTGAGTAGACATCCAAAATCCATCTGCTGTCTTAATACTTAACGTATAATTATATGTACATTGGTTTCTGTCCCTTTCATTATAAATTAGTATATTTACTCATATACATGCCTACATTCAGGTCTCAGTAATTCCTCTTGGATACATTGCACTTGATTAAATCCCACCAGGCATTATACACCCTCCTCGTCATCAATTTTAGATCTCTTGTTGTTCCCTTATCCCTGAGTTTGTTGGCTCTCCACTCCCCCTCCTCTTTCATGTCCCCTGGAACCACTGGTCCGTTGGTATCTCCTCAGGCTTATTCATCCTGCCTATCTTATATACATAGATATAGGGCAAAAGAAAAACACAAACAAACAAAAACAAAAAACAAAACAAGGGAAAAAACCAATAGAACTCTAGGTCTGTCTGCTGACCTTTATGTATGTTTTCCGATCAAGTCTGATGAGGTGCCAAGCGCAGTCCCCCACGTCAGAAGTCTATTTTCAGGATTCTTTGGGGACTTGGTTGTTTTGTTCCCCTTGCTGCCCTGTTTGACTCCCCTTGCATTTCACCCCACTGTGCATGGGGCACACTGGCCACACTTTCCACACAGTGTCTCCAGTGCAATCCCCCATAGCCCTATGGGTCAGTGAGTGAATTTTGTGTTTCATGTGTTAGCTATTGTGTTTTAGGCCTGCATAGTACTCCATTGTATGTATATACCAGAGTTTTTAATCCATTCATCAGTTGATGAAAATTTAAATTGTTTTCAGTCCATCATGATTGTGAACTGTGTGCTCCATCATGACCATTGGAGTGCAGATATTGGGTCTTGGTCTCTTTGTTACTTCTTCTGGGTATGTGCCCAGCAGGGGCCTGCTGGATCATATGGTAGCTTGATTTCCATATGTTTTAGGTATCACCAGATTGATTTCCATAGTAACTGCATGTATCTACAGGATCACTAGCAGTGGATGAGAGTTCCTATCTTACCACACCCCCTCCAGCACTTGTTGCTTTCTGATTTTTTGAATTGGGCTATCTTTGAGGGTGTTAGGTGGTATCTCATAGTTGTTTTAATTTGCATTTCCCTTATGGCTAATGATTGGGAACATTTCCTCATATGTTTATTGGCCATTCGGATTTCTGCCTCTGTGAAACTTCTGTTCAGGTCTT